ATAGTTGCTTATTCACTGGCATCCTTTGTGACGTGTCGATCGGATTGTTAATGAGCAATGTTGGCTATCTCGACACCAAGTGATCAAAGTGGAATTCACTTCTCTGTTAATTTGTTAGGTCTAACTCCTTCATTCTATTTGTAAACCTCTTAAGTGGGTAGGAAGTACTGGGAAGAGATTTGTTTGTTTAATTGTTTATGGAGCGTTTTGATATGATATTCAATTTATGTTCAATGCCATGGCATTCTTATGTTTTTATTTAATTTATCTAAGCTACTGTTCGTCCAGTAATCGAAATCTGAGTATAATCATTTTTTTTATTGGTAACACTAAAACTTTTCAATAGCTATTAAACAAAAAAAGAGGAGAAAAAGGCACTAAACAGTTTTGTCTTTGCCTATTAATTTGTATGTATATAGGTATATAGTATAAATAGATCAGTTAGGAAAATATATGAGTATTCATGTTCTGTTTGATAATTATGTATATATGTATTTGATAACTTGTCAGGGTTCTGAGTTAGATATTTTGGAAATAAAGTTAATTTAGCGCTGTATCTTTTTGATGTTTACATTTTTATAATTAAGCATTGTGATATTCGTAATGGTTCTGTGTCTATAACGGATCGCAAGTTTAATTCACGTACGCTGTGATTGCTTAGATTGTAAAAATGGATGTTTCTATCTGGTCACGGCCATAAATTGAAACAACAATAGAAATTCGATATATAGTTTCTTATCTTTTCTAATATTATGAAGAGAAAAAAAAAATATTCGTTTGTTTGTATCAAATAAGCTCCGAAACTACAGAACCGATTTAGATGAAATTTGATAAGAAGATAGTTTCAGACTCTGGGAAGGACATAGGATAATTTTTATTCCGGAAATCATACCGTAGTAGGGAATAAAAATGGGGATGAAAGTTTGTATGTGGAATCGATCTAGGGTCGAACCCGAGCGAAGCGAGGGTGAGTCGCTAGTAAAAAATAAAGCGTGAAAGTTAGCATTATAGCTGCCGCTAACATCTTTTACTGAAAATACATTTATGCGCGTTCTAATACGAATAAGTCACTAGGATATGAATTATAAAAAAACATAAGTATAAGAACTCTTCATTAATAAAAAGTGAAATTGATGGTTTGTTTGGACATCACATTTTAATAAGGAATTTGTTTATATTAGTTCGAATAATATGTATTGTATGAGGGTGCGTAAATCAAACGTCGAGAAACTCGCTTGCACTACACGTGTTACTCCAGAGCAGGGTTTTCACTTACTAATTTTTGTTTATTTTATAGATAACTTTATGCTAATTTTCTTATGTAATTATAAGCAATAATATAGTAAAATAAACATACATATGATTCTTTAATTCTTTATTTTCAAATCACCCAAATGATCAAATATCTGGTAAGTTAAAATAAAAGTTTGTGTGTGTGTGTGACAGTTTCGACGCACGATTGGATTTTACAAGATTTTACAAGAAACAGAATATTTGATAATATAAAATATTTAATTTTATTATTGAAATTAAATTAATAAAATTATATAAATTATTACAATATAATTAATACGTCTTATATTATAAAATTTTTAAAATTATATATTTTTTCTTATTCCTCTCAGCAAATATCCATATCATAGGGATTGGGGGTGCATAAAAAAACAGTCCGCTATCTTTGGGAGCCCGCCATATTGAATTTACAATGACTTAAAACGCAACGCTTTTGAGTTATCCTTATTAATTTAACTCCTCATAAAATTTCCATACCGGAGGCCTTATATGAAAATCTATTCTTAAGGAGTAAACTCCTAAAAGAAAGAACTCTAAGCTTATAGTATTGTTAAATTGTTATACTTATGTAGTTAGAACCTGAATAAAGCAGTTCATTCATAGTTATCCCAATTCCTTTAATTAGTCCTTTACGTCGTGTCTACAGTAAATACATCTTGGACAACCCTAACTTCTGCAACCAGAGCTGCGCCCGCGCAGCTAGATTTATTGCGGTCAATCAATGTGGATTTATTGTTAAGGAAGCGTTCCCTTTTGTTACAGATAATAATAGAACCCTTATAATTGGTAACCACCTGAGCAGTTACATCGTTATTAGAGACATAAGTGTCTTCATACGCTTATTAAAAGACTAATACGTTATAACTTGTTTTTGCCTTTACTGGGTCATTACTGTGATTCATATTTGTGTTGACTTGACTGTTGTATTTGAAAGTTACATATAAATAAATACATGATGGGCAATTTTAGTGTTGCAGTATAATTATCGGGCGTGAAATATTAGGCCAAATAAATAATGTACATAATGTTGGCTCAACTTATAATCTCGTTTAAATAACACCTTGTAATACGATTGAAAAATTATACGAAATAAAAACCATAGCGAATTCGTAATTTTATGCTCAGATTAAAACGTTTCATACTGATTAGGTATGTGCAAAATAGTATTACATAATATACGAGTATGTATGTGCTTACAGCTTAAGCTATATTATGGTAATTTTTTTTTTTTGATTTGCAATACGATTTTTACTCCTTAATATTAGATGGATTTAGTATTAGATGGATGAGACACTGAAAATTTATCTGCTATGTATCTACTTTATAGGATAACTTAAGAAGGTTTATTTATCACTTAATTAACATTATTCATGGCATAGACTGTAGATAGAGTGTATAGTTTCTAATGCATATATTATGTATGTTTATTTTAAACCGAAAAATATATTATGCCACAACTAGCGCCCGTACTTGTCTCCTATAGTTTGAGAGCCACTTTTATTTGATTACGTTATCCTCAAGTAACAGCCTTGTTATAATCAGTTTAGCCATTCCGGAAAATAATGGGTCTTTTGAAAAAAAAGCGGTAAAATCATAAACTAATGTTGATCCTTCACATTTATATATCTTATGAGTAGTGGTTTTAACGGACTTAAAAATTATGAATAACTTAAGACGCGAGGTCATTTTGCCCTTAGTTGGAGAATTTAATTTTAATTTAATTAAATCATATTTAATTGCTAATCGCCTAAAACCTTACATCATGTTAAAGTTATACATTACTAGGAGATCCCGCGGCTTCGCTCGCGCTAAAACTACAAAAAAATCTCTAAACGGGTAGGTACCTAGGTTTCATACAAACTTTCATCCCCTATTTTACCCCCTTATATACCTAATGAATTTCGAAATATGCTAAAACACGTATTTATTGAATTGTAATGAAGAGCATTAACTATATAACCATTACAGTTAAGTAATTCTGATCAGAAATAAATTTTTGGATTGAATTATAACGTGTTTTCCCGTGGGAATGAGATAATCTCCCGCGATAAAAAGTAGCCTATGTCACTCTCCAGATCTCCAACTATCTTCACACCAAAAACGACGCCAATCAGTCACTCCGTTTCAACGTGAAAGAAAGACAACAAACAAACAAACTTTCACATTTATAATATTAAGAATAAATATATATATTTTATGAAATGTGACATTTAGTGGACGAGACATCGAAGAAATAACTCTGAAAGTGACAATTATATTTCATACATAAAGCTTGTAAAAATTTATTGTTTCCGACTGCCAAGTGCGGGAAGGAATGTTATGAGTAAGTTACATTCTCACGATTCATAATTTAGATGACTTACAAAAAACATTTTAATTTAATTTTTTTGCCTCTAAAGATATGTCAAGAAGCCATTTACACGCGAGTTTATTTTCTTTATGGCTACTTTAAAATTGTATTCAGCCCTTTTTAACATCCCACAGCTGGGCATGGGCCTCCCTTCAATACGAGGGGATCAGGACATAACTTGTTAGTTTATCTCAGACATGCAGGTTCTTCATGATGTTTTTCCTTCACCGTAAGACAAGTGGTAATTATGTTAAAAATGATTCGCACTTGAAAATATCAGAGGTGTGAGACCCGGGATATGAACCCGCTTCACTCGGTTACCCAAGCGAGCGCGTCATCACTGGACAACCACTGCTTCACTTTAGTATTATTAAGCGATTGATACCTCACCTACCATATTGTTTTTGTTATTTCTGTTTTTGAATTTAAAATCGTTCTTTTTCTAAATTTATTTTGACCAGTTTTATTATACACAGATATACATATTAACTTCATATGAGTAATTCTTAAACTAAAAAATAGTATTTATAATGCATAATTTAATATTTATTTTTGACGTGGCGTCAATTCCACCATAAAGTAAAATAGATTAGTGAGTTTAAAATAAAACGAAGATCATTGTCGTTTCTTAGTAAGTATAGTTTTCATCACCTGCCTTATTTATAATCCTCGGTTGACGTCTCGATGAAATTATAGCCGCCATTTTGGACGCGTTTTGAGTTTCCCGCCATTACACCAATTAGTTGAGTGAGATGTCCGCAGTTGAGTAGACGCTTTGGATTTTTATGAGATTTACCATTTTTTTATTGTAAGAACTTCAATTGTGTACAGTGGAGTGGTTAAGGTTAATAAATTATGTCGCTTGTGCTTTATTTTATTTTAAAGTTACATTTATTAGTAGGTCTTGACAAAGTTACTTTTTCGATTACCATTGTCTAGTGAGGAGCGGTGTAAGTTTGTTAATAGTGCCATAGATCCATCCATATTGTAAATTATTTTTCATCTTCGTGTCGAAAAATTCTTGTCAGGTAGCGAATTTGTGAAATTTGTCGTATTTTTGTGTGTGTTTACAAATATATGTATACATTCAGCACCCCATAAGCCTGATGGATCATGGAGTCCAGTTATTCATTTTTTTATTCTTGTGGAGAGTCCATGAGAGTGCAGATGGACTGCTCTGGACGTCCTGGGTCATGTTGAAAGGGCTTTAGAATCAAGAAATGATCAATATGTAGCACATGAAATTGAGACATTGTTAGTAGAGGGTGGATGTATTGACAATTTGTCGTAACTCGAAAAGCTCGTTAAGTTGACGACAATAAACATTATATTTCTAACAAATTTCTTTTTTTCTTAGGTGTAGTGTCAAGTCAATTTCCTCGTGGAAGTTTCCATTTACACTCGTTAGCGGAGCGCGTAAGTAGAGATCAGGCTCTATTACCGGTACTGCCACCTTTGCACAATGAAATGCGAGATGTAAGTAGCCTCTTTGGATATACATAATTATATAACTATACTTTATTATAATGGCAGGTTATAAATATTTTCTATATTTTTTGCTAGAATTTGATGAATATAGCATTACTTAAAAACGCCAGCATGGATTAATCTTTTAAAAAATAGAAATTTAATATTTCTGTCGAGTTTTCACACAATATACTTAAATTAGAATTAAATCTAAATTTATTTCATATAGGAGATAAGTCCAACGCTCATTAACTTTGTATTTACTAGTTCCAATAATAACTAAACTATCTAATTGTTCTTATTAAATAAAAATAATGAAAATTTAAACTGCAACATGCATAAATTTAAAGTAACATAAGTACCTCATATGTTACTAGAACGCTGTGTGTTCGCGTAGCACGTACTCTCCCCTACAGGCGCTCAGTGAGAGCACGTGCAGGGACCACGGCGCGACCGCGCCCCCGCCGCAGCCGCCGCCGCCGCGTATGCAGGTATACTTTAAAACCAGCGACTTGTATTATATTCAGCCCTTTTTAACGTCCCACTGCTGGACACGGGCCTCCTTGAAAGGAATGAAATACGAGGGAAATCAGGCCACAGTCCATGCGGGGCGAACTTCACATGTCTTTCGGAAATTTGCTAAGTTCTCTTAGAAATGCAGACGTTTTTCCTTCACCGTAAGACAAGTGCTAGTCATGTTGGAAATGATTAGCACATGAAACCGGATTCGAACCTGCTTCAATCGGTTTCGCAAACGAGCGTGTCAATACTCTTGTTTTACTCAGATGCGTCCCTATGTTTCATAAATATACCTATCGATTGTAATGTTTTTTTTTTAATTAATTGACTCTTAGCATGATTCTATTGAAAGATCATTAAATAATTATTGTATAATATCAATGATTTTCACTAGCTTCGCTCGGGTACGTCCCTAGATGTATAATACTATTACGATAATAGTAACCTATGCAAAACCTATGTATTAGTTCAGGTCTTAAGTTATCACAGGGGTGTTGTCTGTTGAAGCGTGTGCGCAAGCGATCCTACAGCGCCTCATTGCACTGCAGCGACTGGTTCCGCTGTGGGTTTTAGTGTAGAGATCTTACAGTACCCTGGCCCTTGGGCCTTGACGGCCGGCAGGGACTCCATGAGGGGTTTTCCCAGCGATATATAAAAAAAGTCAAAGTTTATCTATGAACCAAATATCGTCTGAATCCGGCTGACCGTTTTAGCGTGGAGGAATAACAAACATACACATCTATACGTATAATATAAAATTGTAATTAAGCCGAATCTGTAGATTAAATATTTTTTGGAAAATCTTATTGAAATAAACATTATTATCGATACAGAGGCCGAATCTATAGTTTTTAGAATTTTTGTCTGTCTGTCTGTTTGTCTGTCTGTCTGTTACCGCATCACAGAAAAACCACTGGAGGGATTTCGATGAAATTTGATATGGTGATAGCTGAGATAATTAAGATACTTTTCACCGCGGGAAAATATCTCATTTCTGAGGATAAATACAAAAACTGCAATGTAAGAGTATACTAATATGTAAAACCTAAGAATTTGGTTTTTGATCATCTGAACGCGGGCGGAGCCGCGGTCAGTGCTAGTTACACATAAAAACTTCCGACCTATCCACATAAATAAAATTGAAGTGTCTGTTTGTAATGTCAAAATAATAGCTTTTTAATAAATGCATATGAAAATATATACGGTTGGTACTAATAAGAAAAAACATTTTTTTTTATTTTTGTATGTATTTGTTCCGGGTAATCTCCGTAACGGTTAGACCGATTTTGACGGGACTTAGCTGGGCTGATAGCTGATGTTACGGAGTAACTTAGGCTACTTTTATTTTAGAAAAAGAATCAAAGTTTCGCGCTAAAAATTTAAAAACCCTGAGATTCTGAACAAAATACGTGTACCTAGGGATGTACTCGAGCGAAGCGAGGATAAGTCACTAGTTAATAATATAGCCCGATAGACAATTTTGAGGTCTATTATTACCTAAACATATAGGTCCCAAGCCAAAACGTGACCCTACACCCGGCGGTAGCGCGTTGCAGCGCCACGCTCGAGCTGGCCGCCCTATGGCGCAGCTTCCACGAGCTCGGCACCGAGATGATCGTGACGAAGGCTGGGCGGCGCATGTTCCCCGCGCTGCAGGCGAGGCTCGCGGGCCTCTTGCCTAATGCGGACTATCTGTTGCTGGTCGACTTCGTGCCGTTGGACGATAAGAGATATCGATATGCTTTTCATAGGTGAGTCTTTTATTTGTTTTTTTTTGAAGTTATAGGTACTTCTTTTGGTATGTTTGGATAAAATATGAGAGTAAAATTTTTACGATGCGCGCGCATACCGACAGCCAAAAAGCGACATGATGAAGTTAGCTGAAAGCGAAATGATGAAGTTTATTGTTATTCCTTTAGTACTTATTATTTGTCTTTGGAAAAATATAATATTTACTTATAACTTGTATTTAAATGGTCTTACATTAAAAAGTGCAAAATGTGTAAAATAAGTAAGAGCATTTTATAAAAAAAGATATAATTATTCCGGCCATCTTCATGCTTATTTAAGAAGGGAAACAAAAAGAAAGTAGAAGAGTATAGAGATGGAGTATAACCCAACATTCCAGCTCGAGCTGGGTGGTGGCGGGCAAGGCGGACCCGGTTTCGCCGCCGCGCATACACGTGCACCCCGACTCGCCCGCCGCCGGCGCGCACTGGACGCGCCAGCTCGTCTCGTTCGACAAGCTCAAGCTCACTAACAACCAGCTGGACGATAATGGCCATGTGAGTTTGTTTGTCACATTATGTATAATATATTTATTAACTGCCTCGGTGGTGTAGTGGCTAGCATGTACGGCTGCACACCCGGAGGTCCTGGGTTCGACTCCCGGGTTGGGCCAAGTTTAGTTATTGAGTCTTCCTGTATAGTAAGTCTCAGTCACAACAAACTCAACAGCCCGGAGTTGGGAAGTTGGCGGTGTTTCACCCCCGTGCCTCGGAGAGCACGTAAAGCCGTCGGTCCTGCGCCTTAACTCTCACCGGTCGTGTCGAGTGGTCGTCCCACCGGAGTATGAGAGTGATAGGAATAGAGAGTGCACTTGTGTCTGCGCGTACACTTGAGCACTATAATATCTCCTGCGCAGTTGGCTAATCTCGTTGAGATGGGCCGCCGTGGCCGGAATCGGCTAGGAGAACATCATCATCAATATATTTATTGGTATACTTGGTGTATTTAGTCCTTTTTTAACGTCCACTGCTGGGCATTGACCTCCCTTTACTACAAGGGATCAGCCATAATGTACCACGCTGTCTAAGTGCGAGTTGGCGGCTTTCATATTTCGTTCAAAAACTTGCTCGGATCTCTCAGGCATGCAGGTTTCCTCACATGTTTTCCTTCACTGTAAGACAACTGGTAATCATGTTGAAAATGTATTGAGCAAAGTATATATACTCGTAGTTTTACAGATTTTTAGTGATAGGTTGGTGTTGGGTAGTTTGTGGTTACTCCCTCGTATAGAAAACATAAAGCCATGGGTTCTGTGTTTTATCTATTATCGTTCAAGTGTTCAATTGTCGTCTCTAACTAAATGCTAAATTATTGAAGTAATTAAATTTTGTAAATTAAATATTTTATTTTTGTTTGAAATTACATTAGAACTCTTACAAATAGTTTATTTAGGGACTTAGTGGTTTTTTTTAAATTGACATAACTTTTTTATTTATGAACTGATTGATATAAAACAAATACTGAATGTTAAGTGAAGCTTATCACAATACATTAGTGAAAACGCACTCAAATTGGTTAAGCCGTTTCTAAGATTAGCGCGCACAAACGCGCAGACAAACCGAAAACAGACAAAAACTCTAAAAATCATTGTTTTGGATTCTATTTCGTTAATAAAGACCCCGAACAATAGTTTTTTTCAAATATCCATGTACAGACAGCGATCGGTTACAATTTTATTATATGTAGGTATAGATATAGGTTTTATGTATAGAATATACAAAGCAATGATAAAGACTGTGTGGTAACAATGCGTGGGCCAGATCATCCTGAACTCGATGCACCGCTACCAGCCGCGGCTGCACGTGGTGTTCCTGCCGGGCGCGGGGCAGAGCGCGGCGCCCGGCACCGTGCCCTACCGTACCTTCGTCTTCCCCGAGACCGGCTTCACCGCCGTCACCGCCTACCAGAACCATAGGGTGAGTGTGTGTTTTAACACACGTAACATAACACTCAGGAGAGTTGTATGTTTAATGTATGTATGTCTGTTTACAGTATTACACTTTGTTTTGATTCTCTTCATACATGCTCATTTTGCTATACATAATATATATATATATATATATAAATATATATATATATATATATATATATATACACTCAGTATACACAATATTACATATTATAATACTAGGGAATTCGCTTCTCTCTGGTATATCCCTATAGGTATGCCTTGTGTGAAAACTATTCTGTGTCCTTTCCAGGATTTCAAACAATCTTCGTATCAAATTTCATCTAAATCGGTCCAGTAGTTTCGAAGTTCATTCGGTACAAAAAACAAACAAATAAAAAAATCTTTCCTCTTTATAATATTAGTATAGATATGTATTATATATGTAATCCTTTTTTTCGTAAGCAATCAGTGCCAACTATTGGTAAATTTTTTGATAAACAGTAAACACCAGATACAGCGAATAAAAATTTGAAGGTAAAACGAAAGGTAGACAATTAATTAATCAAAAATTAATACCCAGTTCGCTTTATTTATAAATCAAATCTATGTTTAATGTAATAAAAGATACATGAAAATTGAAAAATATTTTAATAAATATATTTTGCAGATAACACAACTGAAAATAGCGAGTAATCCTTTCGCAAAGGGCTTCAGAGATTGCGATCCAGACGACTGGTGAGTAAATAGTTAAATACGCTTGTATCAACTAAAATATGACGTGATATCATTATGTTGTACGTAAAGAAATATAGAAGAGCGATATATCAATAAAAACATTAGTAAAATATTGCTTATCGGTTTTGGTAAGTGGTAACAAAATTGACGGAATTCAAAATAAAAGGAATTAAAAAAAAACAATTTATTATAAATTAAAAAAGAACAAACATAAACAATAAAATAAACGAACACCACATTTCTCAGATCACGTCACAACACCATGAATCAGGCGCGTACGTAAATGATTATATTTAATGTGCACTCGTTCCGTCGGCAGCCGGGGACAATTTACTTTTATGACTCGGCCATAGACTAAAGAGTTTGACAGTTATGGCGGACGCGTCGCGTTTCCCGCCAATATAATTGTCAAGGACATGTGCATGTCACTTTGATTTTTTATACATTACTAGTAAAACCGGCGGCTTCGCGTACGTTCAGTCTACAAATACTTTACGACCTATTCTCATATCTATCAAATATACAAAAAAAAACATTAAAGTTGGTGAAGCCGTTTCGGAGCAGTGCGACCACAAACACCGTGACACGAGATATTTACATATATATTAGATTATTAATACGAGGTAAAGTTTGTAAGTTTGAATGTGAGGGATACTTCATACGGGGTAGGTAAGTATCTCTAAAACTACCGATCCGATTTTGGAAATTCTTTCACTAATACAAAGCTACACTTCCGCCGTGTGCCATAGCACGATAAAACGGATGTTTATTGAAATTATTTTTATATATTTACTTTCGTCCTTAACGTTGGTACCGTATGGATTAGCTAGAGTCTAGACTATACTATTATTTACGTCGGTGGTAGGAGTTTTATATCTCTTACTTAAGAAATGATTGATTTACTATAAAAACTTTCACTCGTCTTTTGAAACCCTTAAGGGATGATTTCCTTCCCTAGAAACTAGCTCCATACCTAATTTCATTTAAATCCGTATAGCGGATTAAGCGTGTAATAGACAGACAGACGGGGTTACTTTTGCATTTATAATATAATATTAGTATGCATTATTTTATCGGTCGTAAAAAATATGTTTGTTCCGATCAAATTTAAAACGAAAAAAAAACGGGTCGTTGAGTTGATATATTGACTTGTGTTGTCTAAACGCTTTGAAATAAAGCAATAAAATGTATGAACCCATCCCAAATAGATCTCCCCGAGCAAATCCAGGATACGTAGCTAGTTTTTAAAGTTATACTACATACTTTTAGCACGTTGGGAAAAAAATATGACAATAAAATTTTTACGATGCGCGCGCACACCGACAGCCAAATAACGACATGATGAAGTTAGCTGCATTCCTTTTACAAACAGAGAGTTGTGACATACGGGATGAAATCTTTAGCTATTTTTGTTCTGTTACGCCAAAGAAGTATAACTTCTTACGTGCGTACATAAGTACCTACACCCACGTTTTTTTTAATAAAGTAACGTTCTTGCGGTCATATTTTTGATTTATTCTTTTCATAATTAATGGAAACGCTTATGGCAACATGAAAGGTCTCTTCATGTTGGTTTTTAGTGTCGTTTTATTAGTTTTCCAGAGACATTTTATATGTCATAAAAAGTTTTTGTTTGTCATTAGAACTTCTTTAGATAGCTTCAATAGAACAGTTGTATCGCAATGGTGATGGAGATGCGTTAAAAAGCACATTATTTATGTTTTTATATGATTAATTTAGGTAAATCTTTCTGAAATATTTTTTATAATAATTTAATTTTATTTAATATTTTATTAAAAACAATAAATAGAATATTTTTAATCATTTTTATCATAATAACGAATGAATTGATGTTATAATTTTTAGATTTTTGACAGTAAGCATATTTATAGGTATCTAAATAATTATTATCTGTATACAGCACTCAGTTTTTAATATAGTTTCGATAGTAATTTACGATTAACCATAAATTCTTACTTAAACTTACAAACTTTACCACTTGAAAATGTTAGTTTAGATTTAAAAAATCATAAAGGACTTTAGGTACATATCTTTATTTTTTATAAAAACTTAAAAAAACCGACTTCCAGGCACTAAAATATAAAAAATAATTAAAGGGAGGTTTTTATTTAGAATAGATAGCCAATCTAATATATTTCGTTCGATTAAACAATTTATTTAAAAAAAATATATTTATTGTTGATTTTTTTTAAACCGGTCACTGATTTCGATAAAATTTATATGGGACCACCTGGGAAGTATGTACCCTTTGAAACAAAAGAAATCCATATCAGTTCAGGCGTCTTCGAGTAATTGGTGAACATACATAAAAAAAAGATTCCGACGAATTGAGAATCTCCTCGTTTTTAGAAGTCGGTTAAAAAAACAAGAAATAAAGAATACGTCATCAATAAATAAAGAATAGGTAGCTTCTTCCACAAAAACACGAATCTTAATAAACACCAAAAATCTCTAACTAAAAGCAGTGTTTACGTAAACACCTCTGTACCAGACATTGCATTGGCCGATTAATTCAGTATAAACCTCTTCTGTGCTATAATTTGCCGGTGAGTTTTCATATTTACAGTGAACAATTTACTGGTGTACTTTGGACCAATGAGCGGTTAGAGCTGATCGTAAAGTTGGAAGCTTACTAATGAAATTTAAACACGTTAAGAATAATGTACACAAAGTTTATTGTATATTTTAAGAAAGCTTAAGAACTTAGAAGAGTAGGTATTGACTATAAGTTATTTATTAAGATTAAAAAAATACGAGTATATACCTAGACGGAGTCTGCCAAAATAAATGTCAAATTTAAAAACGGTAGCGTGATTCGCTGTTTATGCTAATGTAGTCGATTTTACCATACAAATCGTTTACTTTTTTAAAGAATATAATTTTGATATATTATTTAGATACATTTAAGTTGTTATTTTGAGAAGAAAATATGAATAATGACAATAATACTATATACTTTTGTATTTTTAAGCATTACTTCCTTGAAAGAGAGATAGCATAATATTGGCTTTTTTTATTATAATAAAACCCGTTAGCTATTTTTATTTATTAATATTTATTTACTTATTACTCAGAATAAAAATTGTTATTTGTATATTATAACATTACGTATTATTATAAAACATTATTGTTTGGCTTCATGTTTAGTTTGATGAAACTCTCTATATATTCCTATCTGTTAGGTTATGTATGAATTTAAAGGGATTAAGTAGAAATATTTTTATGTTATTTTATACATGTACGTTACAAATTTTAAATACCTTTTCGGATTTTTCGCGGATTTATTTTGATTATTGATTACCGACATTTCGAATGCTTTACAGCAATTATGGTCACGGGAGAGACTGAAGTGTTAGATGTCTCAAAGGACACATTTGACATTATATACCTACTTGTAACAGACTATATAATATAAAATACATATTTTACCATGAAATATTCGCATAAATCCAAGAAAGTATAATTCGTTACAGATTGTTTAATTTATAAAGAAATGAAATCTCGTGTTAACAATGTTTCCTATGTATTTTTTATCTATAATAAAATATAATAAAATTGAAATAGATAGTCATTATAATCGACACGCAGGCCGAATCTATAGTTTATTGAATTTTTGTCTATCTGTCTGCCTGGGAACGTATCACGAGAAAACCACTGGACGGATTTTGATAAAATTTAGTATGGTGATTGCTGGTTGCCCTGATGGTCAACTTTTAGGATACTTTTTAGTGCGGGAAAATATCTCATCTCTGAGAAATCTAGGTATACTAACCGCTAAAACGTACCTAAAGACGAACCCGAGCGGAGCGAGGGTGAGTCTCTATTTCTCTTATAATCTAGGTTATCTATTAAAAGCTAACAATAAAGCTAGGTTTTTATTAATATATATTGTTCCTACACATTTATAATTGTTTTGAATATTTATAATTCCACCTACTATCCGTATAAGCAGTAACTGCCGGTATTAGTAGTACATATTACTATTTTATAGGTCTCTATTAAAGATTTTGACCGAAAATAAAATATTTTACATACAGAACTTTGGGCCACTTTAGACAACGAAATAACAAATAAAAAGTTTTAATATGACATTTTTTTTAAACAAATTTCATTATAGCCAAATCGTCAGCGTGTGTGTCCGACTCTAAAAACAAATGTATCATCAATCAAGTCATATTCGCCATGTGTGTAAACTTGGGATGGGATAAAAAAAAACATTTTTTCACCACTTCCCGGTATCGATTAATCTGACTAATATATAGACGTTATTTGTCGTTGCTTGTCAAAATAAAGTATTAGCAAGTAACACGACTCCGCCTAGAGGGTGTTGTTTATAAATAGGTCGGTTAGTTTTTTAATTTTTAATAGGCAGAGAGGATAGTTTTTCTTTTTTTTTAATTATATCTACTAATGGATTGAGAGTTGATAATATAAATTATAAATAACTAGCGACTCACCTTCGCTTCACTCGAGTCCGCCCTTAGGTACGTTTTAACGGTTAGTATGTAATAGATAGACTATATATGATATGATATAATATAACCTATAGCCTTCCTCAATAAACGGGCTATCTAATGCAAAAAGAAATTTTCAAATCGGATTAGTAGTTCTTGATGTTAGCACAAATAAACATACAAAGTGCCTCTATAATAGGTAGGTTATATTTATATTAGTATAGATTATGTATACGGTAAATATAAATCTTCGCTTTATCGATGAATATAACTTCGAGAGACATGGGACATTGCGCCCTAATAACAATTTTATCGTATGTATTTAAAATAAATAGTCCAAAATTAGCCACAAAGGATACGGAAAAAGATAGTAATGAATTCTCAATTCAGTTCGTTAATATCTATAAGTTTTCCGTTTTTTTTTCATAATAACTATGAAATGCTTTAAATAATTTTGTTTTTGAATTTTTTCGCGCTTTTTTTAGATTTATGTTTCCGACGTTTCAAATGCTTTATAGTAAACATGGTCATAATACAGACTTATGAAAAGGACATATTGGGGTCATTTACGGTTAATATTTATAGTTTCTGTGTGGCGATTTCGTAAAGTTCTGTTTACTAATTTTGAAAAGTTTAATATATCAGTCTAAGTAGTGTTGTTATAGACATACAATTTAAAATTATTTCATTTGTTGTAGTAATATAGTTTGAATACTTTTCCGTGATCCTGTTTGTAAAGCATTCTAAACATTGGCGTCGGACACAAAAATCTTAAATAAATTTGCCAAAAAATTGATTTATTCAAAATATGATATAAAAATATAATTATTTAATGTGTTATTTAATGGATTAATTAAAAAAATATTATTTTATAAAGCTTTTATCATTTTTATTGACATAATTTTTAATGTTTGTAGTATTTTTCAAATCATTTTAAGTAAGAATACATTATGTTGGCTGAAGAAGATCGCTGTTCTAGCGATCTGTACTTGAATGAATAGTAACTCAACTATTATTCTTTTATTTTTTCTAAAAATTACTTCCTGTTTGGTGTACAATAAAGAGTTATTATTATCAATATACTTACTAACGATAAAACAAAAACATCATGTAACACACATTACACGCCGCGCGCAGCCCGCCGGAGCAGGGCGCGGCGCGCGGGCGGCGGCGCGAGGCGGACGCGTGCCCGCTGGCGGCGCCCTACGCTGGCGAGCCCAGCGCCAGCGGCCCGCTGTACGCGCACGCGCACCCCGTGCGGTGAGTTATTCTTTTATATTGGGAAATGCATTTACGCACACTTACACAAAAAGTAGCACAAATCAAAACATCTCTTCATCTTCAAAATCATCAGGGTGTATTTGAAGTTTATGAAGTTTATAACGCAGATTCCTATAATAGTAATAACTCGAATTTGGATTACTTGGAGTTGTGCCAGGAAACGCACAGGGAGGTGGCCCACTTCGGTGGGCGGTGGGAGGTGGCCCTCTTCGGAGGGCGGTGTACCATGCGGGTTGCTCCTGGTACTTCTCTGATAGCAGAGTGGACTTTGGAGCAACCCCATGGTCGTTGTGGTCTGCTTCGGCAGACCTGCCGTCGGGGCGTCGTAGTTGAATGCGTAAGCGACCCTGCGACGCCCCATTAAGACGGGGGAAGGTTTTGTTGGGTTTTAGTGGGTAGTACTGGCTTTGCCGGTGAGGCCCACACCTTGTGCGTAAATGCATTTCCCAACGTTAAAATAAAAAAAAGTCTTTATCTAGGTGTGCGATATATACAGGTGGTTATGTGGGACTCAGCGTACCACCCACTAAAACCCAACGGAACCTCTTCCGTCAATGAGGCGTAAGTCGCTAGTATTCTAATATATTGAAAAATAAGAATTTATAAGTTATTTTGTTTAATATTTATTGTATATATTTAAATTTCCAGCTACCAGCCGCACTCGGGCCACAACAGTGCGTACACCGCGTACTACGCGCACAGATAACTTATAATATTTACTATAATTGTGATATTCATTATTAAGTATCCACATCTCGCAATAAATTTATATATTTACTTTTAGTATATTTATAATGTTATTTTAGTTCTTTTTATAATTGGTAAAAATGAAGGAATTCGTTTAGGCTATTGGTAAAAAATATTCTTTAATATTAAAGATAAAAAAATATTTTATGATCTTTTTAATGTTACCAAATATTATAATTACTTATAAGTTATCTATTATTTTGTATGCAATACAGTCATATTATTATTTTTGTTTGCTTAAATAGACGATAGATGGCATTGATCTGCAAATGTACAATTATTTTATTTGGTGAAGTTATTAAATATAAATTATTTAAAGAAAAAAACATTTATTAACTAACATAAGCTTAGCCATTAATAGCCAAAAATAAATTAGTCATAAAATATACACAACGCTATATATATAATTTATAGAAAAAAATAACTATCTACTTAATGGTGAAATGGTGGAAAGATTTAAATTTATATTTTTTAATTTTCCTTTACCTAAAGTACTTTATAAGCAAAAGATATCCAAAGGACTGTATTGCTATTTCTATTATACACCAAAAATATAAATCCAATTTTAAAATTAATTTTTTAGTAGTAGGTAGTTTAAATAACATATTTATTTTAATGTAATTATCCTATGTGCCTTAAAAACGGATGTCACCGTCATTTTGTACTTATGTTTATTTATAAATAATGTCGAATTAAATAAGTTTTGATAAAACAAAATATTATGTTCCACAGTTTTTAAATAAAAAAGAACTACTGTCTTATTTTCTGGTATTCGCAGATTTTTTTTAAAATGAATGTTTGGATACTTATAACTATTTTGATGTAAAATGAGATAGCATTTTATTTAAAAAAAATAATCCAAATATTTGTTTGTTCTAAAACGTTTTGCAAATTAGCAGCTAACAGAAAGTCAATAATCACTTTTTACATTGCTTTGAGCAAAAGCTTTACAGTATAATTTTTTTTCTTATTCTTATTAGTTTTATTATTTTTTTAAATTATTTACGCCAATATACATTAATATAATTAACAGGCATATTTTACTAGAACATCGACCAAAAAAATCAGTATTTTTCTGAAACTTCTATTTCAGAGCTTATTTGGTTGGACTAAATTTAATTATATTTTAAGCAACAATCAAAAGTAAAATCAAATTTAAATCAAAAAATGCATGAATTAGTATATTTAAATACCCCAAAATACATATAAATGTTAACAAATTTTAACAAAAAAAAACGGTTGAAGTAAAACTTCTTTGGCGCTGTGGCAGATACCGCAATCAAACTATAACAAATCAATATATAAATATAATATTTTTAAAAAATTATTAGTAATTAATATATTATATTTTTATAAGTAATAATTATTATAAAAATATAAAGATAATTTTAAATTATAAATAATAATTTTGACTCTCACTTCCGCGACAGGGGTATTGCCTTACCCCTGAGTTACACCTAAAGAAGTTCTACTTTAAAATTACAAATAAAAACTAAAACGTATAAAATATATGTAAGTCGTACGTATGTATATGTGTGTACAATTGTATCTTATGTTTAGATGTAGATAAATTATTATTTTATGTATCGATTAAGTATAATTTAATAGTTATAGATTTTAAAGAGGATATATTAAATATAGATTTTAAAAATTAGCTTAAATTATAATCGCAAATAAAATCATAATGTATTAAAATAAAACCCCTTCATATTGTAATAAGATTAATATCGAGTGATTCGCCAGTCAATAATTAAGTGCCAAATGTAACCAAAGAGAACGCAATGTAGACACATAAGTTTGTATATTACTTTATAAATAAATTTTACTTAAATTAATGAATTTACTTTTATTTACTTCATTTCAAAGTAACATCGTCTTAAATATAGTAATATCTTATAGGAAACGGGAATCTCACAATGGTCAATTATTTCTGGCGGCACCAGTTGGCGCCACTGGCGAATAAGGTCCTATCGCTGTCGTTGAAAAAGTATTTGTTAGTGCGACATGGACATACGAGTACATACATTTAATACAATAATAATAAGCGCATCTAGTGGAAGGCCAAATATTCAATCTAAGACTGTTGAGAAGATGGACGTCTGGTAGTCTCATCCAGTAGCCCATTTTAAAGCCCATGCAAACTCCATTCTACAACCCTATTTATTTTTCCATATTTTTCGCAACTCAAGCCTCCCAAAGGATAGAGCTCCTTCGAACCCGTGAATTCCAAAGAGATAAAAATAATAATAATTGAAAGAGCGGCACCAGTTTTTCAGGATTTTGTTTTAAATAATCTATACTAATATAATAAAAAGATAAAGTTAGTGAGTTTGTGACGTTGTAAGGGGTAATCTCTGGATCTATCTACTGAACCGATTTAGATGAAATTTGGTAAGAAGACAGTTTGAGACCTTGGGGAGGACATAGGAAACTATCCTGGAAAGAAGAAGAAGAAGGAATTTAGCCTGGAAATCATCCTTTAAGAGGGTGAAAATAGGGATGAAAGTTTGTATGGGAAATCAACCTAGTATATAATAATAATCATTATATTAGTGAAAATCCGCTATAAAAAGCTTGCAAACAGTAAACGTTCAGTATAATTTGACATTTGTACAGACCTTACTCTACACTAGCGCCTCTCACGGCGAATTCAAGAGCGGTAGCCCTTATGGCGCAGGAGATATTATGTGACATCGTACACTCTATTCCTGTCATTCTTATACTCTGGTGGGATGGCAATTCGACACTCGCGATGAGAGATCAGGCACAGGACCGACGTGACACGTAATCTCCGAGGCATGGAGGGAACATCAATGTGATTTGATTCCTAAATAAAAAAAAGTGAAGTAAAAGATACAAAGAGGTTTTGGGAGCCTAAAAATTTAGGTCTATATGTTTTTAATGCTCGGAAAATTAAATAACGTTTCTGGAAGAACCATCCAGGGTAAACCTAGGTACACAAAAAATCATCTAAATCGGTCAAGCTAACACCGGCCAAGAATTTCTTTTATATTATAAAGATGTGTCATTAATTGTGTTAATATTTATTAGTTAATAATAAAAAACAAAACTAACAAACAATAAAGCTAGAATATAATAATTTACATTAAAAAAAAGTAATATTGCATTTGTTGCGGTAAGCTCTCTATTTGAGGAGATCTGAAGTGAGCTTTCTCTGAAAGCGTATACGTCATTACATGGTTCACTGTAGATACACCTGGTTCCTCCTCGTGGTCAATGAAAACTTTAGACGAAATCGTTTCTTCATACTCTTCTCCTACCAATTCTGGTTCAGGATTCACTGGATCATCCATTGGCAAGATTATGGTGGTAGCCGGTTCGACAGAACAATAGGGATAGTATTCCTGTGTTGGGTTCACTGAAATGTAATCATAGAAACTTGGCCGAGGGCTTACGTGGTGATGTTCGTGGTGTACGGGTGGTGCCATTATTTGTGATTCATAGGGATAATTGTAATAGTAGTTGTACTTTGAAAAAGAATCAGAGTCAGTAAATCCTGGTTCTACGCAGAGTATATGATCGTGAACATCATTTGGAGCATTAACGGTTGTATTCTTTTGAACAGATGCTTTTTCAGCACAATCCATTAACTTATTTGTTATGTTAGCTAATGGAATTTCGTCTTTATGTGTCACATTTTTTAGTTCGCAGGCATCTTTTAGAATTTGGGACATCTCTTTTGCTTGCTCGTTCGCAACTACAGCGAGGTCTGAGAGCATTTCTGGATCGGGATTGAATTCAATTCCATATTTATCTGCAATTTCTTGAGCACTCATCATTTTTTCTATAGCAATATTCTGATATTCATTGTTAGACTTAATATGCTTCAATAATCTCATTACAAGCTTTGTGCTATCCATAGGTGATTCGATAGATCTCTTTTTTCTTGATTTATTATCACATTCTTCTTTGCCTGTTATAGATATCGCATAGGAGAGAAGGTTAGCCATTTCGTTCTGTATGGCTTTAGTAATTTCACTTGCCATGGATTTTATTTCGTCAAGTTGCTCTTCTGGTGATTTGTCAGAAAACGTAGCCTGTGCCATTAAAGCTGCTGAAGATGTTGGGAATATATTGCTGTTAGTACCAATAAATAAATCCATCCAGTCTTTAGGCGCATCTTGGTATTCTTTTACAACAATATCGTCATCGGGTTTCGTTTTTAAAATATCACGTGATTCTACATCATTACCTTCATTGTCTATATTAGTTTCTGCAAACGAATTCTGAAAATAAAATACGGTTTTAATAATAATATTTAGCTAGTATCGGTCGTATTTAATTTTAATGAAGTTTCAAAATTTTCTAAAAAAAAATGTATGCCTGTTTGAGATAAATTCGTGCAATTGGCAATCTGTTCCTAAAACATCCATTTCTAGTCAGTGAAATTAATATAAAATACGTTTATTAACAAAATATTTTATTTACCTGAATAAGTAAAGCTAAAACTAAGTAGAAAACTCCCATGTTGAATGAATTATGGTATGTTCAACATACTGGGTAATATTATATACTAAACATTATCAAATTAGGAAATTCTTTTTGTAGAAATGTTACAATTACAACACAAGATTTACAAATTCAGATAAAACATGTCACATTTATGTAAACATTGTGTAAAATAATAATAATTGTAATGAGATTTTCCATCGCATTAATTCAGTTGCTACAAAAGTCTGGTTCTTATAGGTTTGATTTAAGGTAGGTACATATAGGGACGACTCGTTTGACTCAGTTTGTGACAGTTTGTCCGTGACCCTACTCTCTGTGCCAGCGGTCGCGGGTTCGAGTCCCGCTGGGGGCATTCATTTGTGTGACGAGCAGGAATGTTTGTACTCCAGTCCTGGGTGTTTATATTTATAATATGTGTGTATTGAAAACCTATATATGCCTCGTGTATCAACTATCTGGTATCCATAACACAAGCCTCATAGCTTACCATGGAACTAGATGGTGCTGTGTGTAAATGTCCCAACATATTTATTATTATTATTTATTATATCTAAACTTGCCATAAAATTACCAATCCTCGTATTATTACATCATTAGTTTAGACACTAGATAGACTCTAGAGACTAGCTCATAATGCTGATCGTGCCGTTTCTTGGTTCAAATTTCACAATGAGACAAAGTTTGTTTGAGTTTTCTGTCAAAAAAACCACAATCAAACCAGAGTTATAAGTGAAGAACTTTGAAAGTGATAGAATAGGAAGTGCATTTGTGCACTTACTTCGATAGCCTTATGGCCTGATAAAGTGTCTACCGAATAGATACGGGTATTTAGCTTCAGTGAATTTGGTATGATTGACTTCCGTTGAAAGGTATATGTTATTTATGTGGTCGTTTTATATTGTCTGTCGTTTCTAGTTTTGATGAACTTCTTTGGATTTTCAGAACTAATTTCTTTTTGTAGTAAATTGAATATGTAACCTACAATGAATGTATCAATCATTTCATTTCAAAACATAAAATGTTTTTATTAAATTAAAAATCAATAAAGCTTAGCTTTAGAAACAACTAGAAAGCAAAAACTTTAAATATATACGAAAAGCGCTGAATGAAATGAAAGTTAATGAAGTAGACTTAGGTTGGTTATTTTAATATCTCCACTGTGTAAGTGTATGTATGTGTTAGTTTATATATTATTTTGTTATATATAATATATTAGAAAAAATAATTCTGATTCTTAATATAAAAAAGGTATTTTATATGAAGTGTGATTGTAGACAAAATTTATTTTTATTTAATATTATGATCTTAACTGAGGATATTTTTTTATTCTGAGAAAATAAAAAGTTCTTGAGACAGAAGTATATGTAAATAATGTAATAAGACCTACGAGTACACCTACGATTATTGTTCATCCGATCTATTCTTGGTAAACTAGCTCAAAAAGTTAACTTCATTTTATGTAACGAACATTGAATTATTTTTCTTAGAGTAATTACTCTATTGCGAGTTATGAAAAAAAACACTTTCATAATTTATAATAATCTATTTATTTTTACAGATAGTTAAAACCTTATACACTATATAAATTTAAGTTAAATTTTAAACATAATAAGGCGGCATATCAGGTTGTCTTGGATAAAACGACGGATATGATGGTACGGGAGGGTATACCGGGGGAGGGGGCGGATACACTGGTTTAGGATATTCAGGATAGTTATCCCAAGAATATGAATAATGGGGATATGGAGTAGGTATTGGAGAAGGTAAGTAAGGGCTAGGGGGTGGCGGATATGGAGAAGCAGGTGGCGCTAATTGAGGAGATGATGGATAAGGAACAGGAGCTGATGGATATGTAGCAGGAGGAGATGGATACTGATCGTAATAATGTGACCATGTTGGCTTAGGTAATTCAGGATACTCTGGAATGTGAGGGTAGTAACTTGGTGCTTTTGTGGGTGCTAGAGGAATATTTGGTGTAGGTGGCAGATAGGGCATAGGTGGAGATACATATATAACTTGTGGTGCAACATATGGGTAGTGATAGTATGAGGTATCATAAGTGTAGTCGCTGGGCGTGGCATTCGAACTCGATTGGGGCGTTGATGGCGGCTGAGTTTTGGCAGATATGGCTGAAATTATAGAATTAAACATAAATTACAAGAGCGGATTGAGTAGTAATATATATGGTAAATAAAGGAGGACTCTTTTCCTTTAGTTAGAAGCAAGATTATATGGTTGCTAGTCATGTGATCTGAGTTACATGTAAAGCTTAACGAGTTATTCAGTTTTTCTGCCAAAAAATTTTTTCGGATTGTCTAATATAATATTTATTTATAAAAAATAATTATTCGTCTTTTATAAAAAACTAGCGGCTCACCCTCGCTTCGCTCGGGTTCGTCGCTAGGTACGTTTTAAATAGATATAAAAAAAAAAAATCTTTCTTTCTCACATTTTAATTATATGTTTTAATACTTACCTATTCCGGACTAAGAGAAATCCAAAAATTAAAATATCATAAAAATTGGAACGCGGTCGAACGGGATAAAAAGTATCCTATGTCCTTCTCCTGGCTCTAAACTACCTCCCTGCCAATTTTCAGCTAAATCGGTTCAGCCGTTCTTGAGTTATAAGCGAAGTAACTAACACGACTTTCTTTTATATATATAGATATAAATTATAAGGAAGGACGAATAGACTAATAAATAAGTAAGTATAATAAGTAGCTCAGCTCGGTGAGATGAGGTTATAATTTTTTTTGCATACAAAATCTCCTGCACCTAAAAATATTTTTTTAACCTTAAAAATTCTTGAACTTAAAAATAGTTGGAATTTAAAAGAGTTAGTTTTCAGCTCAGTAGGTTAAGGTAATTTTTTTTTGCATATAGAAACTCCTGCACCTAAAAATCACTTATTTTATATTAGAAAACAAAAAAGTGGTAAATATTATTTGATAATTATTTAATAATTTAAAAGTGCTGGGGAGTAAGCCAGCTTGTCTTTTCTGAAAAGAGTTTGGATTGGAGAGTAACAAAGGGACATTTTCATTTTGATACATACATTTCTCATGAGAAATTAATCCCTTTAAAAAAAAACTTAATATGTATTCTTAATATGTTTAAACTGTATAAATGTAAATCGTGACAAATAAAAACAAATTTATCCCACGGGAACCGTGCATTTTTCTGGTATAAAAAACAGCCTATGTGCTATTCTAGACTATAATCTGTCTTTAACAATATTTCATCCATACCCGTTCAGCCATTTCTGGCGTGATTGAGGAAAAAGACATCCAAACATCTAAACTTTCACATTTATAATATTAGTGTAAATTGCGAGTAGGTACATATAATAAGTAAGAAAGTCACAAAAGGCAATTAATTAATAGCCTCGTAAAAAAAATGTTTGTCAGTTAAAATATTCTGTAGGTAGGTATATAGAATTGCAAGATCGACATAATATGTAGGTATTTTGTTTATTTACACTTAGCTTCGTAATCGATTTTTAACTTACGTGAGGTGTACAATGAATTGATCATTTGTGTCATCCGATCATTAAGTGATGCCAACTGAAAGAAAAAAATGTTTCATATATTATTTGTTATATTTGGCATGTTTTTAGGAGTTGTCTTATAATAAACAATAGAACCTCTATTTCCATTCTTGGAGCTATAAGAAATGTTCCAAGTAGGTACTATGATCACAGTTAAATTCTAATTTAAATATCAACATTTTATTCAACTTACACCAAGGTGCTTACAGTAGAGTCGAGATATAGGGAACTCAAAATAATTATTCAAAATGTAAAATAACTTTAATATCTCTTTGCATATATATAGTATCAATGATCATAGATGGTTAAAAACGCATACTGATTGCTTTTTTTTGCTATCGATTGCGAGAAAAAGTTCATCATTAGGAGGTTATTTCTGTTTTTTTGCGCAAAGATAAAGTATATGTATGTGTATTTTGTACAAGTAGTAAGGGACATACCGAAACGAGGTCGAGTCGGTACTTATAAAAAACTAGCTCTTCCCCGCGGCTTACCTCGCGTAGTTTATTCAAATATAACGGCTTTGTTTTTAAATTTCTCAATAATTAGGCTCTAAAATGTTAAAAAAACTTTTTAAATATACAAATATAATGCAAATTTGAAATGTTCTTTCTATCAGTCGATAGTTCTAACTTTACGAATATTAGCGCTTTCAAATAACTAAAAAAAACTATAATTTTTTTCAGGTCGGTCTACTGCTATAAATACGAAAGTTTGTATATTTGTTACTCCTTTACGCTGAAAAGGCTGAACAGATTTGATTGTTTAGTAGCTAGTACACAAATAGTCTATATATATGTGTACTAGCTTCGCTAGGGTTCGTCCATAAGTATATTTTTTTTAGCGGAACCTTAATTCTTTTACTGAAACAAAAGTAGCCTTACTTATTCCCTATAACATCAACTACCTGTCAGTGAAAGTTCCGTCAAAATTGGCCCAGCCGTTTCGGAGATTAGCCGGAACAAACAGACAGACAGACAAAAAATTTAAAAATTGTGTTTTTCTTATAAATACCGTATATAATTCTATATGCATTTAGTAAAAAGCTGTTATTTTGGCATTACAAACAGACACTTCAATTTTATTTATCTGTATGTATAGATCAGTACATATAAGTAGCAATAAATTTCATACCTGTGATTGGTGCAATTCATGGCAGCTCGGCGTTGCACAACACAGGGCGATCGATAGAGCATAGAGTATTGATAGCTTCAACATTTTCGCTATTACCAACTCCTACAGTACTTTACACAACATTGCGCTTACTTTATTACTTCACACTGATATTTAAATAGAATATAATCGATAATTGAAATCTAAACGTGATAGTTTGAAGATGCTGAGTTTTGTAGATAAGACTCTTTGATAAACATATGTAGCTGGCGCGTGATTTGGATTATAAAACAATTATAAAATTTCATGGGTTTTAGTGAAATAAAACGTATGTCGTTTAAAAGTGAATCTTATTATATTTCTCATATTTTGTATAGGAATTACATGTTGATATATAAATCTAAGTATAATAAAAATACATAAAAGATATATTTGTGTCACATAATACAATACTCTGGATAGAATTAATGAAAAAGATACAATTTTTCGAATACTAAAAATACCTACCAACGAGTAAAAACGATTGTAATTAACTAGCGAACTCACCCTCGCTTCGCTCGTTTTCGTCCCCAGATTGATTCCCCATACAACTTTTCATCCCCATTTTCACCCCCTTTATAAATGATTTCCGGGATAAAAAATATCCTATGTCCTTCCCAGGATCTCAAACTATCTTCTTACCAAACTTCATCTAAATCGGTTTAGTAGATCCAGAGATTACCCCCAACAACCTCACAAACTCACAAACTTTACCTCTTGATAATATTAGTATAGATTAAACATAGATTAGCTTATTATACTTTACTTAAAGTAACCGCATTACTATTATGAATGCAAACTTTTATCTGTGTGTATGTTTGTTTTTCTTGAATGCCCAATTTTACGCCTTAGATCCGGATTTGGATGTTCTGGAGTAAAACATAGGCTACTTTTATTGTAAGTGATAAAAATTGCAAAAAGGTGGCGTTACCTGTATAAATAATAGAAATAGGACAGACACAGAGCGACACGAGGGTGATTTGCAAATAAGTAAGTAATATTGCATCAAAAAAAAACGTGTGTATGTGTGCACGTAGGATGTTATACATCTTTGGTGTAAACGAACAAAAATATTTAAAGATTTCATCACGTATGTCACAACTCTCTGCAAAAGGAATGCAGCTAACTTCATCATATCAATTTTTGGCTGTCGGTGTGAGTGCGCATGATATAAACTTTACTCTCATATTTTTTCCAAACGTGCCAAAAGAAGTATAACTTCAAAAAGAGTGCGAAAACGCTATTACTTAATCGTCATCCTCCAAATTTTCGATCAAATCGGATGTCGATACATCCGATTTTTTCCCTTTAAATTTAAAAACGAATATTTCTACACCTAACAGTATGAGAGAGGCAATAACACCAGTGAATGTAAATATCAATACAGGGGCGATATCGTTAATATTGACCCTTTCAGCTAATAATGCAGCGCGGCAGATAGGTGGCTTGGAGCGAAGGCGGGAGACAAAACGCTTGCTTATACCAATCTCTAGGAGCCAATTGCTTATAATTTTGAAGGTATTGGTCCATTGGCCTCGTTTGGTTGTCGTCAAGTAGGTTAATATCTAAAATAAATAATAAATATGTTGGGACATTAACACACAGCGCCATCTAGTTCCATGGCAAGCTACGAGGCTTGTGTTATGGATACCAGATAGTTGATACACTACACACATATAACTTAACATACATTCATTTTTTAAATATAAACACCCATGACTGGAGTACAAACATCCGTGCTCATCACACAAATGAATGCCCCCAGCGGCACTCGAACCCGCGACCGCTTACATAGCAAGCAGGATCACTACAAACTGAGCCAAACGTGTCGTTAAAAATAACTTAATTTATAAACATTTAAGAAATGAGTTATCAGAAGATATAACTGTATATTGTACATTATCATACCTACCATCTACATTAATTGGAATACTTGTTGTGTTGTATTTTTTTTTTGCTTTTCTTCAAATATTAAACTAAGAGAACTTTTAAACTTAGAAAGATATATAAATATAATATAGGCATACGATATATTGTAGAAGTGATTAGACGATTAAAAGAACTTATTTCGTTAGTTTAAACAATACACGACAAATTCTTATTGCATCCATCTATCCTTGTCACCTTACCTCTGGAACAGTATCAATATACTGTAACTTGCACAATTGGTCATCGGTAAACGACTTCAAATGTGGATAGAGCTGATTATACTCGGTGTGATACGCCGTGTTTCCTGCTCCTATGAGATGTACCGCTTTATGTATATCTTGATAGAATTCTGACGTCATTTTCTTCTTTTTTAAATATTCTAAATCTTCAAGGTTTGTTTTTATCTGTTTGTCATTAGTACAATGTCACTTTGTTGTCAGTTTGAATATTTCGGAAAAATTATAGAATTTCTAACAATTATTTATAAGATATTATATATATATATATACATATATATATACACATATATATATGTACATATATATATATATATATATTAAGAAGATAGGTAATGTTTTAAATTATTTTATTTGCGTTCTATAAAGATTTTCTTATGGATGAAATTCATTCGGCTAAGCACTTTTTCTTCGCGTCTATTTTGATTTTCCTTTCGTACAGTAAAATAATTGAAACCGATACTTTCAAGAAGTTAAAGTACAATTAAATATCAAGTATCTCGTAATTAATATTTAATATTTATCCATTCACAAATAAAACGATAATACTAAAAAAACCTACATCAAACATTAAAAATCGCATCCATTCGTAGTCCTCGGAGGCTATAGCATATCTCGAATCTCCCAAAGACGTAAGCGAGTCCGGCCCATTTCTGCCAGCGCTCATCAGTGCAGAAACAATCGCCGAAGTATAATAAGCGTGGATAAGCATCGCGGAAATGGATAAAACGACAAAAGTCCATCTCCCGGATATCCCTTGAGGTACAGCGCTCGCATCTATGAAAAATTTTATTCTTAGAATATAGGTACTACTTGAAGAGCTTCTTTTTAAATTTTGGTGACGGCTTAAAATACACATAGACAATGCTAAGGTTAATATCAGAAACTGAACTGCCGAAAGAACGTATACTACTTAAAAAAGACAATCTTAGCCCAGTGGTAACGCGCTTGGGAAACCAAGTGGCGGGTTCAAATCCCGGGTGTCACACCTCTGTCATTTTCATGTGCGAATCATTTACAAAATAATTTCCACTTGTCTTACGGTTAAGGAAAACATCGTGAGGAAACCTGCATGTACCTGAGAGAATGTAGCAAGTTTTCGAAAGACAAGTTAAGTCCGCCCCGCACTTGGCCAGCGTGGTGGACTATGGCGTGATCCTATTGTATTAAATTTGGGCCTCCGCCGTGCACAGCAGTGGGACATTAAAAAGTCTGAATACATACTACATAAATGAAAAATATAATATTTAAGCGACCTTGTTGCATGTAAGTGGCAAGAGCGGAGATATACGCTCCTTCCTTCTCCATGATACTTTTCGCTGTAACACGTTGTGCTATTGCCAGAATTAGGAAAAGACTCAAGCAACACCACCAGACATTCACTGTGAAGGGTTCCAAAAACATATTGCTGTTACTCTCACGTTCTCCCAGGTAAGTGAAACCGATACTGAAAAGTCGACTGTATGTATTTCTAAGTATCTCACATCCATCTAAAATCTAAAGGGTACACCAAAAGTATTGTAAAATTTTTATAGGTTTTTAGTTATTTTGTATTTTTTATCGATTCCTAAAGTATTTGCTTCGATAATTATATCGATATATCGTTAATGTATATGTGAGTTACACAATATGGTTTCCGCAAATGTTATGTGTCTGAATTTCGTTATTCCAGCTCACATACGCCTTCATGAACGATGGTAATTTATAAACTTTGAAACTCTAAAGAATCAACAACATGGAATATTTTCCATTAGTTTTCAACGTATATAGTCTAGATTTTATCGACATATTTACAACGTGAGCATAGTCGCAGTCGCAGGCCAATTACCATTTTGAAGTATAAAATAATTAGACTAACTTTCTCTAAACTACACTAAAAATAACATAGACTTAAAAATCACTTTAATTGTACTTATTCCACCCTAAGGGTGGTATATTTTCCTTTTTTTTTTAAATTAAACCTTCCTCCGATAAAAACACCCAAATAAATATACTGTCCTTTTTTAGAAATCGGTAAAAATTGGAGCTTAGAGTTTTTAATACAGAATGCTTAAAGAATAACAATTTACTGAAACGGCCATAGAGGCATAAAATAGTCCAATTTGTCAAATCTCGTGTGCATAATCCGTAGAATAGCGCCGGACAGGTCTGACTTGCCGTAGTTGAGCTCCGATATCATGCTGTCGTTGTTTATATTTGAACCCCAAAGCATGGTGGGTATCATCACTTCACTGTAAATAATTTTGATAAAGTAAGTAAGTAGCCTTTCAGTAACTTTAGTCTCTATTAAAAGAAATTTTTGATTATTATATTATAGATACATATGTATATGCTATAGCAGACTTTTCATGTAGTCGTAAATTTGAATTTTGCGTAATTTTAAAATATTTTGGCTAGAATCCTTATATTCCCGAAATAAAACATACCATTTATGTAGCAAACTTCTCTATCTTTCAGTTCAAGTTTTGTTATAACCGGTTGGATCTAAAGATTATTCCGGACAAGCAGACAGACAAAAGGTTGTTTAGCTACTGGTATTCTTATAAATAAAACATGAGAAAATATAATTATTTTGAAATTACAGACAGTCACTTAAATTTATTTATATGTGGGCAGCGACACCTTTTGACAATTTTATTACTAGCAATAGCCTATGTGTTACTCATCAGCCGTTTCTGCGAGAAAGAGTAATAGACACATAGACATATGAACAAAGTTTCAAGGTATTGTAAGTAGAGCAGAATGAAAAATTATACATATTATGATATATATATATATATATATATATATATATATATATAATATATATAATGTTTTTTTTTCTATTTATTTTTTTATTATATAATAATTAATATGATTGTTTGTATTCTTGAAACAATAATCCGATTGCGATGAAACTTTAGTAGGTACATATCCATACATATATTATGAATTAAATTAAAAGGACTAAACTCCTCCGTTCACGAGATAATAATACGCTGGTGCAAGTACCAATTACTTACGTGGCGTTCAATGTTTCGAGTATAATGTTCGCAACGTAATATCCTATGCGCACACCAGAGTCTCTCTCTGTGATTGTCTCATCCAATAAATAATCTAATAACGTGCCATTGTAGGATTCCTTTGTATAAGATCCATACTGTAAGGTCACATATACAGTAGAGTACGTTATATATATTTATACGTTATATATATTATATATATATATATGTATATATATATATATATATATATATATATATATATATATATATCAAAAAACAAACATATTAATTATTATATAATAAAAAAAAATAGAAAAAAAAACATTATATATATATATATATATATATATATATATATATATATATATATATATATAAATACTTTATTGAAACTACAGAAAAGAAAAACTACATAAAATGAAAAGAAAAATAACAAATGGCATGCAAAGGCGGTCTTATTGCTATGAGCAATTTCTTACAGATAACCTCTGATGAAAGGATTACTGTAACCGTAAGAAGTATTATAAATGTGAAAGTGTGTTTGTTTGTTTGTTTGTTTGTTTGTTTGTTTGTTTGTTTGTTTGTTTGTTTGTCCTTTTTTCATTTTGAAACGGAGAGACGGATTGCCATGACATTTTGTATGGAGATAGTTGGAGAGCTGGAGAGTGACATAGGCTACTTTTTACCGCGGAAGATTATTTAACTCCCACGGGATAACACGTTATAAAACAATCCAAAAAATATTTATGATCAGAATTACTTGAAACTTGGTATTAATGCTCTTCCATAAAATTAAATAAATACGTGTTTTAGCATTTTTCGAAATTCATTCTATATGGGGGTAAAATAGGGAGATGAAAGTTTATATGAAACTACCTTTTTAGAGACTTTTTTGTAGTTTTAGCGCGAGCGAAGCCGCGGGTTGTGCTAGTATATAGTAAATACATACGTATAAATATATATAACAAAAAAATGTAAGAATTTATTTTAACGAACTCTACTTAATCATATTATATGATTAAATTAATTTTATCATAATTGATTTTTATTAAACAATTGAAGCTGATGATATAAATTGTAATTATGAAGTCATTATTTTATCAATAAGTTAAAAAATATTTTCTATACTAATAAAAGTAAAAAAAAATTCGAACTTATTTCGTTATTACGCACCATTTGCCGTAAGTCAGGTTGGCCGAGTGGTCTAAGGCGCCAGATTTAAGCTCTGGTTCCCGAGAGGGAGCGTGGGTTCGAACCCCACACCTGACAAATGTTGTTTAAGTGAGTTCGTATTTTATTTTTTTTTATTTATAATTATTTTTATTATAGGTATTATTCAGTATTTTTTGCATTAACACCTCAAGGTAAATTTCTAAGAAATTAATTAAATTTCTAAGAAATCTATTGTTAACTGTAACGCCGGCGTGTCCACGGTCGTGGAGGGATTAAAATTATGATATTTGCAGTATTAATTTATTATAACTAGCCCGGTCAACCATAGTTTTACCTTTATTGAGGCTCTTGTATGTATTTAGTATATAAATCAAATTATGTATATTAAATCAAAATAATATATTATTTTACTAGTGACTTCGTCCCTACGTTTTAACGGTCAGCATGGAATAGATAGACTATATATTATATGATATAAAGCCTATAGCCTACCTCAATAAACTGGCTATCTAATGCAAAAAGGTTTTTTTTTTAAATCAGATTAGTAGTTCCTGAGATTTGCGCATTGAAACAAACAAAATCTGCCTCTTTATAATACAAGTATTAGTATAGATTCAAACTGACTTCTACAATCACTTTTGAATCGTTACTTTTAAATTACCAAAATTTAAATTAAATGTCAATAGGTACGTCCGTGAGGAATCTACTACCACAATCTCCTCACGTAGAATAATTAGATAATTATTGTATTACAATATTGTAAACAATTATTATTTTAAGAGAGCAACTATTGAGTTTCTGCCGGCTCTTCTCAGCAGAAAACTGCATTCCGAGCCAGTGGTAGCTTCCTCATAGACTGACTACACTGACATTTAATTTAATTTAAATTTAAAATATAAAATTGACGATTCGAAAGCGCTTGTAGAAGTCTATTTGAATGAAGTATTTATATTTTGATTTGATTTA